ACAAGATAAATAAATAAATAAATAAATAAATAAATAAAACCATGCTTTGTCAGCGAGAAAAGGCCAATAAATTAATATTTGTTTTCTATAAACCACTCACAGAACTGTAATCATCATCCATAGTTAATGGGAAGTAATTCCTGCCCACTGGATACCTTGTATGGAGGTAAATGCAGTTTTTTTAAAGCTTTATGGTATGTTCTAATTGAATATAAATCATCAATCAATGTCGATTCCAAATAAAGATTACTTTAATATATTTTTGAGATCTATTGTAAAACTGAATTTGAGAATATTTGCATGAACTTAATAAAAACAAATTACGTGATTGGACGAATAACTTTGATGTTACAAATGCAATGCTTAGTATCGGAACTTAACTTACAGCATGATTGTAGATAAAGTATATTACAGCTTCCAGAAGTTACTTTTTACAGCAGAATCAGACGCTATTCTCTACACTGTAACATTTTTTGTTTGTATTTGGCACTTTATTTTACTTTGTAACAATAGCATGTTATGATAGTTTAATTTTGACATTTGAATGAACAAAAGAGCAAAAATATTGAAAATAGTGAACTTGATTCGAACATCAATGGAAAGTGAAATCACATTTATATATTTTTAGTCCAATTATATGAGCCTTTAAATCGCAATTTGGTCAACTTGCCTGAATTTTTTATATAAGTTAGTTTGAGGTATATAACAATAAATGACTAATTTTTTTCAACCCCAGCCAGGGGTGAAAAAAGAGAAAATAAAGGTTTTTTTCAAGATCACTCAAAAGAGGTAAGAGCTAAAAAAAATTTCGTATAAAAGTTGTAGAGTATAAAATTTTACATAAAAACGGTCTATTGACTTTTTCTTGTACTATTAAAATTAACAGTTAGAGTGAATAGAAGTTAAGGATTTTTTTATAGCTCTTGCCCCTTTTGCGTTATCTTGAAAAACCCCTTTATTTTATCTGTTTTCGATGGTTGAAAAAGAAAAAATGACTGTCACTTATTGTTATCATATACCTAAAACTAATTTATATCAAAAATTCACGCAAGTTGACCAAATTGCGAATTAAAGGCCCATTTAATTGGACTATTTTTTATATTCTAGCACTAATAGTTCCATAATTAAATACCTAGAAAGTTTTAACAGCTTGATACCAACCAAAACCCAATTTCCCTTAAAACAACTTTAACGCAAACCTATATCTAAAACCAGACGTCCCCCTAAATAATCCAAGTGAAAAGGTAAACACGTATAACTGTAAATAAAGCGCTGAATTAACGTTAAACGCATATTTCTTCTATTTCTGGTGCAAAGGTCGTCCAGATGACACAGACCGACGACAACATCCCCGAGTTTTTCCTTATGAGACAATTAAGCTGTCCACGCTGTACCCGAATATGACACCGATGTTGTAAACACGTCCAGAATGTTGACAGTACTACGCGAGCTCATTTGTTTTTGTGAGCACTTAATGAAGGCTTTAAAAGCCCTGCAATTACGACGTGGATGTACTGATAATTACAGTTGACTTGTTTTTATCGTTTTCCTCTCCTGCGGTTACTATTAGTGTTTTTTATTAAGATGAGGCAATAAGAAAATAATATTTTGATAAATTTAATTATCACCTACCTCTTTTCGAAAGTCAACACCTAGAATAACAATATGTAACAGTAATTTTTTTTTCTACCCCCGGCCAGCGGTGAAAAAAGATAAAATAAAGGGGTTTTTTAAGATAACTCAAAAGGGGTAAGAGCTAGAAAAAAATTTCTTACAAAAGTTGTAGAGCATAAGATTATACATAAAAATGGTTAACTTTTTTTTCTACTATTAAAATTAACAGAGTTAGGGAGACTAGAAGTTAAGGGATGATTTTAGAAATTTAAAAAATCATAACAAGCAGAAGAACGAATGAATTTTATAATTTTTTTTTCAATCTACTAAAAATGTGTTATCTTTTCAGAGAAATAGATATATTTTTTAATTTTTAATACAAAAAGTAATAACAATTTCACAAAGCGAACATGACTTTTTATCTTTATCGTAAAGCAAAATATCGAAAGCAACATTTCATTATTTTAAATAATCAATCGAATAGCATAGAAAAAAAATTAGTGTTAAATCATAAAAATTAACGATTAAAAAATTGAAATTGGTATAACTTTTTTATTAAAAATATATCTAGGTATTTCTCTGAAATTTTTTTAGAGTAAATTGAAAAAAAAATTATAAAATGCATTCATTTTTCTGCTTGTTATGATTTTTTTAAATTTCTGAAATCATCCCTTAACTTCTAGCCACCCTAACTATCTTAATTTTAATAGTACAAGAAAAAGTCAATAGACATTTTTATATACAATTTTATGCTCTACAACTTTTATAAGAATTTTTTTCACCCCTGGCTGGGGGGTGAAAAAAAATGACTGTTACTTATTGTTATTATATACCTCAAACTAACTTATATAAAAAATTCAGGCAAGTTGACCAAAATTGCGAATTAAAGGCCCAGTTAATTGGACTATTAGGAAACATTGACCTTTTAATAGTGGTAGGTCGATGTAAATCACAAAAAATACTTAATTTAGTTTTGAATTTAGCGAAAACAGCAAAGCTTTCATTTGATATCTCCGTCTCTACGGAATTGTCCAAATTTTTAAAACATTGAAACAGGATTCAGAAAACGCTATCAACAATTAAAGTAGGTATAATCACTATTTCATAACATCCTTTTAGTCAGCAAGAAATGCGCTAGTTTAAATTTCATCCACGAAAAATTTTCAAAAACCTTTCACTATACGATTAACTTTATCAGCATAACATTGTTTAGTATAAACATACATACAGATTTCAATACCAATTTATGTAAATAGACCAAATTACTTTTCTACTATTGATAACATTATACAATTATGTATGGTTAATAAATAAATCATATTATTGAATAATAATGCATTATAATCTACTACGTTATTGCTATTTCATTTTGATATTAAAATGAGTAGGTATGCCATGAAACTATTTGGATGTTAAAAAATTAAAAGAAATATTATGCAAAGTTACTTATTTTTGACATAGTTTTAGTTTTTTCTCTGTTTATTTGAGAATTTTGCCACCTATTAAAAAAATTAATGGTCAGTCAAAGGTTATTTTATGAAATTGTGTTTGCGTAGCTAAAAATCTGTCACAGAAGAAAGCAGAGAATAAGAAACATGAATTTATTTTTGTAATATCCTCCGAGAATTACGTAAATACCTAGTAATTTAAATGAAAGCATTATTTATGAAATTGGAATATATTTTTTGCAATTTGTTATTATACAAAGAAATTAAATTACTCTAACACTTTTTATTTAATATTAAATATAACCGGTTGTCCAAAAAATAAGGTGAATTTGTTTAAAAATAAAAAAAATCTTTATTTATGCTTCCAAATCAATTTCGTCGTATTCAAAGTATTTTCCAACTATCGAAACAGTCTGAAAAGTCCTTTTCCGGTATGCTTTCGTCGATTGGGCTTTTGTTTCCTCAAATCGATTCGAAACGGTGTCCACGGCATGGTCTTTTGAATTTAGGAAATAGCCAGAAGTCACTCGGTGCTAAATCAGGCGAATACGGCGTTTCATGACGTCTTTGTAGTTAGAATCATTGTTTCACAGACGCTATTTTTCCAAAAAATTGTGCGTTTTTGAAATCAAACGAGATTTGACGCATCTAAGGCACTACAAATCTTTTAAAATGGTATTTACCGAATCTTTTGAAATGCCAACAGTATCAACAAGGTCTCTTATTGTTAATCAACGTTTGCGAGCACAAGATCTTTGATTTGATTGACGTGTTGTTCATCAGTTGACGTTGATAGTTTTCCAGGACGATGTTTTTCCTCAACGCTTTCTCTTCCTTCTTTAAAGTCTTTGTACCACTTGTAAACATTTTTTTGCGACATAACCTCATCACTGAAGGCCTTCTGTAACATCCTCAACGTCGACGCGGCAGAATATTCATCCCGCAAACAAAATTTAACGCAAATTTTTGCTCAACAAAATCAGACAGTGAAAACGATAAACTTATTTTGTTTACAAAAACACGAACAGCTTTGCAGCACTTGAATATATTGACTTGAAACTCTGCATTGATATCAAGGACAGTACCACCAACCTACCAAAAATAATTGTACGCTTTCGGCACTTTTCACCGTGTATTGTTTTAGGATCTTTGCATATCGCCTTTTTGTTTCCTCATTTGCCCCTTCCCAAAGCCCATCACGGTGACAAATTGCCAACTAAACATAAGTAGGATTTTATTGGCGCTAAACAACTATAATGCTGCACCCAAACGAGATTGGAACACTTGGCAGCGCAAGTTACCCTTTGAAACGCGCGAAGGGTCAAACTGTTAAACACTAACTGCTATGACGTAGCATGAAATCGCGATTAAAAGAGTTAAACGGGCAACAAAGGATTTATGCTTCGGATCTGACGCCCCAAAACTGCTAAATGTATTCTGACGGGGCCTCGGCGAATTCGAAATTGAGAGATTGATGGACTCGCGCCGCAGGTGGCTCGTTCAAGACTTTGTGTACGACGTTTCATGAATAGCTGAGGCACGGCTACTGCCTACCAAGAGTAGTGCTAATATAGTGATGTAGTTCACATATTTTTTGTAGAGACAAAATAAATGTCTCTAAACAACTGTATATTTTCTTCATACTTTTAAAAAAACCACCATTTTTAGAATATTTACAGAAAATTTACAATAAAGAACGAAAATAAAAACAGGCCTAGTTATGAACCCTGTGGTACACCTGACAGCTGCCGATGAAGACGAATAACACTCACAGAAACTTCAAATTTCATTTCTACAGAATTTTAAATTTGTACATAAAATGTTCCTATATAAAAATAATAAGAACTCGAAAACAATTCGTTTTCCCAATAAAATATTGAAAATCTCCTCTGAAAACTAATCTCTGTTTCAGCTGCAGGAGTGGGAAGTCTTTGTGGTATGTGCTGCAGGCCCATAAACGACCGTTTCCTCCTGAGGATTATGGATGTGTCCTACCACGAGCACTGCGTACAGTGCTGTGCATGTGGAGACCTCCTTCATCACACCTGTTTCGTCAAGGACTCCAAGCTGTACTGTAGAATAGACTATGACAGGTATTTTTCGAACAGCTAAACATTTTTTTACGAGACTTCCTGTAAAAAAATAAGTTTCGGACTATTCTTTGAAAATCTGGCAAAGAGGAAGAAAATTGTCCTTGAGGTAATGTTTTGTTGCTTGGGTTTATCAAAACTCCTGAAAACTGCTATTGAAAAACATTGACAGTTTCAGAATGAATAAAATTTTATTGACATTCTTCTGTTGCATATTTAGATAAAATAGTAGGTTGGAAATGTTTGTTTTTTTTTAGAGATTTTTCCCACTGGCAATTATGTTCCATAAGAGCTTTTGGGATAGGAAAGTATATCAATAATATAAACCACGGGGCACACATGCGATGTTTGGAAACATATTGCAGGAAGGGAACCGAGGCAATTGCAATATGCTGCCTGCCTTCCGAACTATTTTCCGACCGCCTTGCTATAATCCTGTGTCATGCACAAGTGAGGCGCAGGACCGGACTTGCAGCCAAAGTTCCTCGATTAGTTCTGGAAAATAATTTTTTCCTACAAAAGGATATGGCATTTTTATATTTTTTTATATCAAAATTATAAAAAATGTAATAAATATAAAATATAAAGGCGACATGTAGTATATCGCATGAAAGAGGAAAAAACAAGCAATTATTTTGTAGTCATAGCCTACTTTGATGACAATTTTTTTTGCACGCAGCAATTTACATACGATAGTTCCAAAATCTGTTTATACCAGGTGAAAGATATCAATTTTGCCATGAAATTTTATTAAAACAAGTTTTCCCTATCTCTTAAAATAAAAAAAATTAGACGACCCTAAACTTTCGGCACTTTTCCGTTTTTTTTATAATTTCTCACAAAGTTGGCCTTATATCTCAAATTTGTTTTTACGATCATAAAGGCCTCAAAAAATGCAACAAAAAAGATTTTTGACGTGCGTCGTATATTAAGCGAGATACATAGGAGTGGACCTCTTATAGTAGACAGCCTGTATAACAATATATCCCTGCAATCAGAAAAAATGCATATTTTCTTTCTCCATCCTTTTAATTAAATTGCACTATTTATTGAAAACCTTACAATTATTAAAAAAATATTTCTGATTTACTACCTAAATTTTATGAAAGTATAAAATTGATTCTAAGAGAAATATCCAAACGGATATTTTCTAATCCTGCTCTGCTAAGGATCTACAATACAAAGAGAGGGCAGAATACCATAGAAAAGAGAAAGTCACTTATTAATTTCGGCCATTCAGTGGGTGACGCAGGTCACATTTTTGTCTCTCTACTTATGTCCCCACTTATCCGGATCTTTATAGTCTAACGTAATGTTTCTATGACATTTATCAATTTGAAAGGACTTGGCTTATGTAAAATATGTAAACAGAGCGGTTTTCTACCCACATTTTTGGGACGTAAAGGAGGCCCTGCTGCCTCTACACCCCCTCCACGGCAGTGTCTCATACGAGACTTGATAATTATCAAAAAAACTAGTGTACGGGAAATGATTCATGCATATAAAATTTCTTCTGAAAATACTAAGCTGAAAAGTATCAAATTTTAAGAAATAAGTGCCTAGTCAGTAGACGGTAAATAGAAATTTTATGTAAAATTACAGTCAGAATTAGAGATAATTGGTTATTTTGACGGCACTGTAACTAATGAAAAATTACATTACTCAAAATGTAAATTTATATTTTGATATATGTAAATTTACAGCACCTAAAATGTAATTGTACTAACAACGAAAAAAAATTTAGGCATTATTATTTTGTAATATTTTTAGAAAGGAAAAGCTTTTCTACATGCTTAAACGTATATTTTTCTAAGGTGACAGGTTACAACGTACTTATATAGAGGAAGAATAACATTAAATAAATTTAATAATATTTATTAATGCAGTAAGTGACATATATTTTCTAGAGTAAAATATAAATTTCTAAATTATACCCAAAGCTAAATAATATATTATTTAAATCAGTTAATCGAACAGTATAATGATACAGCAGGTTTAAATTAATAAAGTCAATAAAACTTAAAAATATACAAGGCGATTCAGAACTTAAGTATCCAAAAAAAATTCTGGATGTACAGGGGACTCTTACAAATACAATTTTATAAAGAAAAAATCAAAAAGGGCAGTTCAAAAATAATGTAAAAATACACTTCTGCATGACTCTGGAAGCTGGTCCGTCATGGCGGTAGTGATAAAAACGGACAAAAACTTGAAAGAATTTCGCAAGGAAAGGAATAAATAGAATTTTATAGCACCTATTTTATATGAGCAAATTCAACTGATTTTGCCGCTATCGTTATAATTAATTAATTAAATTAATTTGTGGTTTTAAATAATAAAATAATTTGAAATACCTCATATTACAACTGTTAAAAAATTTGGGTTTGTCTTACTCAGTTTCTACGAACTAACACAAATGCTGTCTTGTTTCACCATAACACAAATGCTTCACCATGCAAATGTTTTTTTGCTTTAGCATAAATTAAAACGATATCCATCAATTCCGACTTGCTACACACGCAAGCCATTTTTGACACTAACTACTAAAAAACTGTTGTAAACACTATGGCAACGACGATTGTAAAATCCGATTTCAGTATTCGGATTCGCTGAGGCCACGTGGCTTTCCATGCGTATTACGACTGACACTAGAGACTACAGTTGTCTAGCTATGTAATGGTTGAATCTACTACAACTTCAATAGTTTTTTTCTCGGAACTATAAGGATATTACAACATTTTTTTTACAATATTTCACAACGATCCAAATTTTTTTAGATAAGTTGTGGATCATCCTGTATATAAAGCAATCTCTGTAAAAAGGTACAACATACCTACACTATGTATTTCATTTTGCCAATGTTTTTTTTAGTGGCATCTTTAACATTCAATGTTTAAGTCTAAGTTAATACTAATTAAATAAACAGTATGTATTTATCTACGACAAATGAGACCCATTTTCTTCCCCAAATTATAATTCTTATTTAAAATAACTGATCTATTAAGAAAAACATTTTTCATGTATTTCCTGGGAAAAGTCTTCTTGCGGTTTTTAATTATATGAAGACTTTTTCTGAATCAAAATTGTGTCCCAGTTCTCACGTCCAAGTGTATTTTGAGGTGGAAGCTTTGACCCGTTTCGAGAGTACGGGACACTTTTTTTTTGAGAACATGAAACTGAAAGTGTCGGTAAAACAATAAATAAAATAGGTCTCAAATAGTTAAAATCCTGATGTATGTGTTAGGCAAAGTTCAATACGGTTATTATAACGTTAAAAGATGATTTACATAGAGCTTTACATCATTTATACAAAGCCATATTGTTTACTTACCTCAGTATTTATTTATAACATTATATTTAGGTATAGTTAAGCACTGTGCTCTATTATGACGCCAGAAATGAATCTAAACATGCCTACAATAACTAGCACAGTTCTCTACACACCGCGGTAATACCACTCCGGGTGATCACATGATTAATCTGATTGGTTGAGCCAAACAGGTCATAATGTGACATTATATCGTAAAAAGAAAATATACATTCAATTCGTAATCCTACACAACGTATCTTGTATCATTTTGGTATTCACTAATAGTTAAATGTTTTGAGTTTTGTATCACGAAAACAATTTTTTATAAATCTAACAATAAGGCTGCCGTGGTTGCAAAACGACCTCCAGCCTGTCGGTCGCGCAACTCCGCCCCTCCGCCGTCGAGGGATCAGTGGGAATACCCAGAAAGTATTCCGCCGTCGAGTCGTCGTTCAAATATCCCGCATTCCTTATGTAAAGTATTTGCGAGATAACCTGAAGCCCTTATCGCTTCCGATTGCTCGAAGGTGCTTTATATAAACTTCGGCTCCGGATCATGTCAGCGCCAATCTTCCGACTCGAAGGCAAATATTTGCAGAGTTCGACAGAAAGTTTCCAACTTTCAGAAATGAGTTTTTGTCAAAGGCCGTCGCACTGTTTGACTTTTCCTCTTCACTAAGACGTTTGATCAATGGAGCGGGAACTTTCTAATTACTTCTGCGGAGCGGATCCGAAGAAGTGTTCCCGCTCCGAGCGGGGGGGCCGCGGGGGGCTCCAGTCGTCACCTCGGCATTCTGATTTATGTATATTGGATTGCCGAGAAACAAGCTAACGGGGGCCCCCTAGCCTCGAACTTATTACAGTCGGGGCTGAGACGTAAATGAATATTTACAAGTTATTTAGGTATAAATTAAGGTGTCGACACCGCGTCAAAACCCGGTAGTAGTAACCTTGTAGTTCCTATATAACACAGTCGAGGAAAGGATGTTTATTTTTTGAAACCTTGGTATTTATATTTTCGTATCAGTCTGCTGAAAAACCATTTGAAATGTTAATAAAATGCGTAACTACATATATTTCTTTTTATATCTGAATAAATAAAATAGAACCCGGTGACATTATAAACAGAATAACAGTTTTAGATCCTTCTTCCTAGCGTTATAAAAAATCTAGCTCATTTTCTGCAAAAATCCGCGAAGGTACAGTTTCCGAATACTACTTGCTATCTACAACATAATGTTCTATAGTCTGTTTGGAAATGAAAGAGAGTAATAAAACCCCGAGATAAGAACCGGCCATGGGCGTGAATATTTCGTTTCAGGTAATTATCGGGTAACACTAATGCTAACAAAAATGACAGGGATTGGAAAATCGACTATCTACAGACATTTAAAGGAAACAAAAAATGAACAAGATACTGTAAATCCCCCAAAATCGTCTACAGGGAGGTCAAAAGTCGTTATAGATGATTTCTTCAAAAATGTCATTCGCAGAAAAGTACACTCATTTTATTTTAAAAAAGAAATACCAACGCTAAACAAAATTTTAAGTGAACTTTCAGAGGATAACGATTTGCCAAAAGTCAGTAGAAGCAAATTATGGGTCGTCTTACGAGAGTTGAATTTTGCTGGGAAAAGCAGAACAGGAAGTCAGTTCTTATCGATAAAAATGAAATTATTCGTTGGCGAACATC